ACAGCTGATAAGTTTGCCTAACCCAGGAAAGCAGTACTGATTTCAAACAGCAACTGAAACAGTTCTGCAGTAGGATAGAATGACTCATGGAGTTGCTGCTTGCAAAAAACTTGTTCTAAGACAATAATGCAAACAGCTTAGGTGAGTCAAGCATGGCACCATAGTACCAAATCATTTAAGTGGGTTTAGCATGAATTTTATATTAAGCTCCAGGATAGTACAACACACATATATTAAGCTATCAAGTCCAGCTGCACATTCACAGAGATTCAGAAGGAGAGATTCCTATGATGTCTGTTCTTGCACTCCATGTTAGACCCATGACTTTGTCTTGCAAAGACTGCTGGATTTTCTATTCAACATGATGGCTTAAATCAATGTATCAGATTCTGATATGCTGACAGGTGATTGTAGAACCTGAGCACCAACTGCTATCAAGAATATGTGAGCTCTGCAGAATGCCTCCCCTCTTTTGGTTCTTATAGCACTGTGCATCATAATACTCTGTTTTCTTTCCCTGGTATTCCTGAACAGAATTTAGACCACCTGTTTGGTGCAACAGTACTCATCAAGCATGGTTGACAGAAGAGGCAATTAATGATGTTTGAGGGGATAAAAGAAAATTTTACCCAAGGAGTGTCATGAGGCTCAGTAGATGCTATACTTAACCCCTCATTTTCCACATGATTTGTCATCACACACAAAAGGTTTCTGAAGATCCTCATCATCTTGGAAATTTGACTTTTATCCATGTAAAGATGATCGAGACACAGCAGAAGACATCAGTAGAACAGTTGATGAGCTCAGATACTATTTACTTGCTAAATCGGCACTACTTCACCAGCAGAAGCCAAAAAAGCTTGGTTGCTTTAAGCATGTGTGCTGATGCCTGCAGACAGTGCTTGTCCTGTCACCGGCAAGTTTTAATGGTTGCGTGGTTCTATCTGCATTGCAATCACATGGCCTCTGAAATCACTTGCCTGTTGCTTTCCGCTGCAAGAGAGTTTACTGCTCGCTATTCAATCTTTTGAGCTCACTGCCTTCGAAGCATTGTTTCATCCTTCAATGCAATCAACGAAGGCAAGCGATTAGTGCTCGGTTTTATCGTGTGGAGCAGTGCAACAGTTGTCACTTTGGCATGTATGTGGGTTGGCGTTTTGCTGCGGTCGTCATCTTTGATTTATGGACCAAACTCCATAGTCCAAAGTGACAGCTGAATACATGTACAATCTTCCTCGATAAAGGGGTGTCTTCTTCTTCGTCTGCAACTGATAAAGGGGGATTGATGTATGGATAATTTGAGGGATATTATATCACGTTTCACTAAACACTTTTAGTTTTGTGAATTCGACCTGTAGTCTATATTTAGTACCAATATAGAGATTCATTCATCTCGACACGAAAGCTTTCGATGCACAATTTCATGATTGAATAATGATTAATGATTTTATCTAGTATTTAGCATATTAAATATTTATTTTATTTCAATTGTTGCTCAAACTCAATTATAAAAAAAGCCTTCAGGTGTATCATATTGACTCACATATCTATTTCTTGGATCATGTGACTTCAATAACTCAAGCATTAGATATGCATCCTCATCAAATATGTCTCAGGTTAGTTTTGCAAGATCACCTGTGTCTCACCTTCACTTGTAATGTGAGATAACCAAAATCTAAAATAACACTAATTAATGTGAAGGAAAGTATGATTAGACGCTAAAAGAATTCTTCTAATTAGATTGGAAAACCCTCCACTTTTTGAAGCCTCGAGAGCATGGGATGATGTCAACAGCACATCTATGGAGTCGATTTCGCTGGGATCACCAAGCTGTGGTCCTCAACTGCTCTGCCATCGCCTTCCTTCCACATCACTGCGTGGGACTGGCCACCTTGCGATCCTGTCAAGCTTCGTACAATGCTGGTGTTCCACATGACCGCAACACACTAGTTGGTGACGAAGCTTGCGTTGCTTCTCTACGAGGGATCAATGATGACGATCGACATTCGAGCTTTCAGGGAGTCAAAGAAGGTTGTGCACGAATCATGATGTTCCCATTACTTGAATCCGTCGCCATGCTTTGTGTGTAGTTCTACAGCCATAAAGACACCATTAGTATTGCGGCTTTTCTTGTAGGGTGTGTTCTTCTTTGACGAAGTGGCAGTGATGCAGAACCAGCAAACCTACTTTGGATGCCTAACACGACGACGTCCCTTTCTGAATCATCGCATTGTCACCAAACATCAAAATCAAGTCAAATCAGATGGAAATCTGCAACCTTCTTTCTCATTGTCATTTCAAAGCTGTCTCCTTAATCTCCCAGCGCACGGGAAGGACAGGACAGAGACGCTTCTTAACCGTATACTACACAGATATCTCACAACCAGTTCTTGCCTCCCCCTCCTCTGCCATCAGCACCCATCACTACTGTTCTAAATGTTGGTTCCTTCGATTCTACGGCATTCCGAGTTCCACTAACACGACGCTTCTCTTCATAGTTCCTTCTCCATCCAAATCCAGAGAGTCGCAGAAACCAGAAGAAATCAGACGGCATGATCTCCTCTGCTTCTAACTCTCAGTGTTTTCTTCTATTTCTGCTGCTTTTTCTTCTCCAGCCATTCACCTCCCGTTCCTCGAGTACTACGGGTGGTGCAAAGGGCTCATCTTTGTCTCTTGTACTGCCGCTAAGAGTCCAAAAGGTGCCATCTTTGGCTCTCCGCAAGCCATCCAACAAGCTCCTCTTCCACCATAATGTCAGCCTCACCGTCCCACTCGCCGTCGGCACGCCGCCGCAGAACGTTTCCATGGTGCTCGACACCGGAAGCGAGCTCTCCTGGCTCCTCTGCAACTCTTCCGCTGCGCACTCCTTCGACCCCAACAGGTCGTCATCCTACCACCCTGTCCCCTGCTACTCCCCGACTTGTCGCGACCGCGGCCGCGACCTCCCCATGCCGCCCATCTGCGACGCCTCCTCGCCCGGCGGTCGTTGCCATGTTTACCTCTCCTATGCTGACGCCTCCACCGCCGACGGCGCCATCGCCACCGACTCCTTCCTCGTGGGCAGCTCGCCCTCACTGCCCACCGTTTTCGCCTGCGTGGCCTCCGCCTATTCCTCCTCTGGCGGCGACACCGACGCCGCCGGGCTGCTCGGGATGAACAGGGGATCCCTCTCCTTCGTGACCCAGAGCGGCATCCGCCGATTCTCCTACTGCATTCCGGATCACGACGCCTTCGGACTGCTCCTCCTCGGCAACGCGGAGCCCCCCTTCCCGCTGCCGTTCAATTACACCCCTTTGATCCAAATCACCCTCCCCCTCCCCTACTTCGACCGGGTCGCCTACTCCGTCCAGCTCGAGGGCATCCGCGTCGGCCACGCCCTCCTCCCGATCCCCAAGTCCGTGCTCGTCCCGGACCACACCGGCGCCGGGCAGACCATGGTCGACTCCGGCAGCCAGTTCACGTTCCTCCTCGGCCCCGCCTACGACGCGCTCAAGGCGGAGTTCTCGCGGCAGACCAGGGGCGCGCTCGCGCCCCTGGGCGAGCCGGACTTCGTGTTCCAGGGGGCGTTCGACCTCTGCTTCCGGGTGCCAGCGGCAAGGGAGGAGCCCCCACCGGGGCTGCCGGCGGTGGTGCTGCTGCTGCGAGGCGGCGCGGAGGTGGCGGTGGGGGGGGAGACGCTGCTGTACCGGGTGCCGGGCGAGGTGCGAGGGGCGGACGCGGTATGGTGCTTCACGTTCGGGAACTCGGACTTGGTGCCACTGTCGGCGTACGTGATCGGGCACCATCACCAGCAGAACGTGTGGGTGGAGTACGACCTGGAGAACGCTCGGGTCGGGTTCGCGCCGGCGCGGTGCGACCAGGCGAGTCGGCAACTCGGTGTGGCGAGCCCGTGATCACTATTAACGATCCGTCTTGTGGTAGTGTAAATACGTGCGCAGTGGGTCCATGTGTAGAGGCATGTATATATGTACTACGTCGAGGCAGCTAATAATCGAGTCTTATTCCTGACGTGACTCGTGGTCTTATTCCTTGCCATCGTGATCGATCGTGCCTTTGCTCCCGCTGGAGGTAACTCGATTTGACTACGAAGCCCGCGATCGTGAGCGACGAATAATAGGTGGGAAGAAGCGAGTCGGTGATGGGATAGTGCAGTGACCGGCAACTAACACAAATGCGGCCGCCCATGTGGTCTCTTGTGAGCTTCATCAATGACCTGTGTGCCGGTGCCATGGACGTTGCTACGTGGGTCTACGTTAGGGCCTGATTCTGAAGCCCAGCCCAAAGATCCATATATATATATATATATATATAACAACAATTTGAGTGCTGCATTAAATTGTTTCAGCTTCAATTCTCGTGAACCGAACGAGAAAACAAGCTACTGCACGATCAGGATCAATCAATCATTGCTTAAGCACAAATTTCGAGGTAGATAAGAGCCCGCGTCATGGATAGGAATCCATGGAAGAGGAAGATTCATCGACGAATATAACAGGCCCAACACCCGTGTCTTTATATAAATAGAACTATACATACTATCATCACACGTTATAAGTTTTATGTGATCACTAAATTTTTTACATGGTCAAATGACACTTTATAAATCTTAATATTAGATGATTAAGATAATATATAATATTTTTTTAAATTAGAATGTTGAAGTGAATGTGTGAAGATAATCATATGAATAAAGACAGTATATTTAAAATGTTAGAGATTGCATGACCTGTTCGATTAATAAATACCGAAGAATATTTTTATAAATATTTTTTTTATTTTTTTATTAAATAAAAAATATTATTATTTATATAAATTAATGATGTTAAAATATCATAGTCGATACCGAATAAATGACCAGTAAAAGCTGTGGATCTAATCACTTGGAAGAATGATATATAGTTTGCGAGCAACCAAAGATGAATGAGAAATGCATGATTTCAGCATCCAATACATACATACTACAAGAAGATGGAGATCAAGATAATTATAAATAGCTTCTCATCAAATAAATTGGATGTATTGACTGATACCATAAACCTTGCCAGAAGATAAAACTTTTTGGAGTATTCAATCGAACTCATCAAGACTACAGTAAAAATTCGAGAGAATAGCGACCCAAATCGGCCCAAATCAGTGTTTCAGAGTCGCTTGACTCGGATCAATTTTAATGGGTCTAATAACATAAGTCTCAGAAATTATGACGTGCCAAATAATAAAAATTATGACACGTATAGTGAAGACATTTGAGCTAAAAGGCACACCTACGATTTATACGTACGCGTATACACCCACGGCGGTGAGAGAAGGCATAACGACAACGGTCGCGTTCGAATGGGAATCCCGCCGCACCTTGCGTCAACGAACAGTGCCCACGGCCCCCACAGCCCCACGTGAACCTCTCGCGTCCCATCACAGCCACGTGTCGCGGGGCCCGCCACCACGTGAAGCTGCTTGCGACCAAGGGCGATGGATGGCGCCGCGGCGGGGCCGAAGGCTGCCGCGGGCGGACGTGACCGTTGACCGGCCATATCTGGACGCGAACGGATCCGTCCGATCGGCATCCGACGGCGGTGACGGGTGAGGCCCGGTTCGCGGGGGTCAAATCGCAATGATGGGTGGGTGGGTGTCGCACGCCCCACGTGCGGTCCAGTCTGTCCCACTCCCACCATCGGGTGTCCGGGTTGGAATCGTCGGACTCGCCACCCGCCCCGCCCAACCCACTCACCTCCCTCATCTAAAACCTGTGGAGGACATGTGCTCCAATCGGATGGACTCGGGATTCCTTATCCGCCTAATCTCATCGAACTCCTGTTCGGCCGATCACGATCCGCTACTTTTTGTCTGTCGCTCGCGATGGCATCTTGTCGTACTGCGTAAAGCCATATGGCATGTCGACGACCGACTCACATCGGATCAAAACAGCTCACCGGTTAATTATTTCGGCTTGGTCTCGGGCCCAATGCGGACCCGGTTCGATCCGACGCGGTCACGGTCCAATGTCACCAGGGTCTTGATGGATTACCATACCACAGCACGAATCACGACACACACCCACCCCCGGTTAACCATGTCACGAATTCAAAAGGTGCACAGTCATCGAGTCCTTTTTCGTGTTCTGAATCTACACCATCGCATACGATATTTAGGTAGATGGCGTCGACAAAACCACTATTGGCAGCACACAAAATGTTTCTCGACACAGCGACATCGGTGGGTGTGACCTGTCGAGCATGGATCTCGAAGCTCCAACCCTGTTTCCTTTCCCGTTGTTCTGAGGTCTTCCTCGATAACGAAGTATTATGAATCGAGAGGCCCTAATAATAGGTTTAATTTACGTGATTAATCGATATAATTTTACTTTTCTCGGAATTCGAGCACCATGTGAGGATTTCTGCGGTCTAAGTGGCAACCGTACGGCCCACCGTGGGAGGAGCATCGCTTCCCGTTGGATGCACTGGTATCTCGCACGTGAAAAGCATGTGATGGCAGGGGGACTGATGGAGAAGAGAGCAGGACAAAAGGGCTTTAAGTAGAGAGGAACAGCGTCGCTGCTGGCCAGCTGGTCGTCGAATGAATCATTGGAATATTGCGGAAGATAAATGATGCAAGGAAATTTTTATGGATTTGGCGTGAAGGAAGAAGAAAAGGGGTAATTTGGGTCAGTCTTCTGTGGAAAAGATACTACTAAGCCACTTCCATCAATGTCTTCTTCCTCGTAATAAGTTTGACACAGTGGTACTCCAACAACAGTTTAATGGCAGATTTGGACGGAGGGAAGCGGCCAACGCCGCTGCCCCTTTGCCAGGTCCAGTAGCGCCTCCTCACGTTGCCCGATTCCAACCCTCGCAGCTTCGTATGCTCATAAATTTTTACCCCCTCATTTTTACGCTAACGTGACGCCACCACCTTCACCGTTTTGTAGACGAAGGATACAAAGGGGTAAAGCAATAATTCAGCATGTCAGTGGCTGCCATCGCTCCCCTCATTCATTCATTCACAGCTCTCTCTCTGTCTCTCTCTCTCTCTCTCCATCCATCAATCAATTCACGGCAGAGGAGAAATGAATAAAAAACCATGGGAAAGAGCAAAAGAGGACGAAGCAGCAGCGGTGAAGATGGGTTGCAGGACACTGGGAATATATTCCTTCTCCAAATGGAAGCCAAAAAGAAGACGCCCCCTGCGGGAACACAGTCCATCTTTAAAGAACCATTTGTTCGGCTGCAGTAAGGGAATAATCAACAAGAACCATCGTAGCTTACAGCAGGGCGTCTGAGCCCTTCATCCCCTTTACAGGAGATCCAAAACCTCACCCGGTGTATCTAACAACACAAACCAAGTAATCGATTTGTACATCCAGAAGAAGAAGAAGAAGAAGAAGAAGAAGAAGAAGAAGAAGAAAGAAAAATAGAACTTCTACTCTCTGATCTATCTATATAAGCCTTCCACCTCCTCTTCCTTTCCTTCCCTTGTTGTTGGTTGGGAGGAGCGGAAACCTCAGGGGTAGTCTCGCCAGCAGATGAGCATGGTGACGCAGCGGCGCATGATGTAGAACCTGGCTCGTTGCTCCTTCACCAGGCTGGCGAAGCGGCTGGAGAAGGAGCCCGGTGCGGCCGTTCTCCTCCCTTCCCTCGTGCTCGCCGAACCCTTCAAGAAGGGCCCAACTCCCTCTGCTCCCATCACTCTTCTGCTCCCGTTGCAGCTCCTGCTTCCCTTCTTGGACAGCTTCCACTTCTCCTCCATGTACAGCTCCATCTCTTTCCCCTCCTGATTCACTAGATCCGATCGAGGCCTCTCTCCTGTTATGCCTCACTCACGACTCATATGTCGGGAGTACAAAGCAAAATCGGATGGAAGGATTCCACAAATAAGGCTGGAGTACGAGGCTCTCTCTATGTGTGGATGAATGATGCGGTGAAGAGCGGCGTTTGCGTATATATAGAGAGGAGGAGGAGGAGGAGGAGAGGAAGGCGAAGGTGTATGTATGCATGTATGTGAAACAGCTGGAGACGGAACAGCGCTGTGGTGGTGGATAACGGGTATCTTGCGCGTAGCTTTCCCCCTTCCCTTCTTGCATTGGATATACTTTCATTTAAATAATTAACCTCCCATATTAAATGTATGGAATCTCCCTCTTCATTATTTACCTCTTATAAAAACTTATTAATACTTGTTAAAAATAAATAATAATAATAATAATATTTTACAAAATGTTTTGATATCGATACTGATTTATCGATAAAATTGTTCCCAAATAATTGTCTTTCTGCTGTCAAACAATTCCTCGTGCTTTGAGATGCGCGTTGAGCTTTGATCGATATCTTCGAGACGCTCATCGATGATCGCATGGCTGATGGAGAACACGAATCGGCTCGATCCTTCGGTTAGAACACGATATCATATATATTTGACTTGGCCGATTCCAGGTCTGCTACTTCAAACACGCGCACTTGTCCGGACGTGTGCCACACGTGTGCAGTGGACTTCAGGGTGACCGCTGGTGTGGAACGGATTCCGGCCGCAACCACGTTTGTGGCGGCCTCCGTGCCGGGCCCGGCAAGTAAAGTTCGCGGGCCCATGCCACGCGGGATTGTCTCCCCGATGGGTCCACCAGTGACAATAATAGCGCAAAATTACACATATATCCCCTCCCAAAAGTAGGTGTTCTGTTGAGCGTCGCTGTCGATTTAATTTAACATTTAGAGATATGTATAGATATAATATCATCAAACTCAAAACCTTGTTAAAATACTATTATGATTGACATCCATTAATTAATTTTCAGACTAATGGTTATGCGACTGACATTCTTGTCCCTTGAAATTATTTTATGTATCCCTTAATTATTAGTTTTCATATATGTCTCTCGATAATTAAAATAGATTAATTTGATATATAAAATATTGATTTGATTATGATATAAAAAAATATTTATTAGGATTTAGTATAATTTTTGATGATTGATAACTCGAGCTAGACGTCAATTTGAAAAACCAACTAAGATGTTTCGTCTCCTTTTATTGATTGATTATTGTTGATACTGAATTGATTATCGATAATGTTCATCGGATATTTTAGACAATATGAGTTAAAAGGATTTAGAATATTTTTTTATGAGTGACTGTTGATGTATCCGATAAGCATCTTATAATAAGTTCCTAGTATTATTACTTCTGTGATCAATGTTGACGGAGATGTATGCTCTTATCTTATACTTAATTATAATTATGACATGTCGAGAATGGAATGCGATAGCATCTATCCGATTCGAGCATGTGGTATCAAAGTATTAATCATATAATCTCGAGATGTTAGTCACTTTCTTACTCCTATACCACATAGTTACGAGAATCATATATCATATCCGTCTTGTTCGTTTGTAAAAAAAAAAAAAACTTTAGATATTTAAAATTTAATATTTTTTGACCTTGTTAGCGATCATCATAGTTAATTTAAAATTATTGGACAAATATACTAGAAATTTATAGACTTGAAGAATATATATACATATGCAAATCTAAATATTTTGCAGGGTAATTTTTTTTATCAGAATTTGAAAGGGACAGACATGCTATTGGCATACATCGAAAGGTTAGATATGTAAAGACACCCAATAATCATAACAACGATGGTTTGCCGTGCGGCGACGGCAAGCTAATGTCCTAATTAAGATGCATGATTTCGTTGCACGCATGGCATCGTTGGATGTGGATTAGCTCATGTAGCAACGCATCACAAGGACTACAAACATGGCCCACAGATTTGCATCTTGATAAGGTTCCACATTCATCACATATTCGTATTATTATGATATAGTGAATGATTCATCGAATTCATGGATTTGGATCCATTAAGCCATACGAGCTGTAGTGTCCCCACCTAGTCACAATAATAGTTCACGAACATATACTAACGAAGAAATTCTATTAAATAAACCCTTACGTATTACTTCATAGAAATCAAGATATAAAATATAAATATTTTCATATAGAGCTATAGATAGTGCCCAATCCCCAAATAATCCAAGATAGATCTCCTTATACGTGGCTATTCATAATACTCGATTAATTGACGCCCCTTCGGTGCCACTTTCAAGCGGAGTCGTCAGATCACATGCCTTCAGATACGTGCAACGTCGTGATTGATACACTGACCCATGATCCGAACCCGATCTGTTCGTACATACCACGTTCCCGCATCAAACCGAGCACGGTCGAACCTAAAACCTAACGTGCTCGTGTGTGTCTCTCTCTGGTGCTCGGCATCGGCGCCGAGCGAGGAGGTCATCCTCTTGTCGGCCGCGGCTTCCACGGCGACGCGAAACGGAAGGACATGGCGAAGCGCGAGCTTTCGAGCACCCTCAAGAACCTAAAGGCGAGCCCTCGACATCCTCCGCCATCTCCAGGACTCCT